TTTTTTTTTTTTTTACAGATTAGAATTTCTGAATCATTATAGGAGAAAAATGTATTTTGTAAAGTTGTAAGTTTATTCTTTTACCATACAGGATCAAAATAAACAAAGGCAGGAAATATGTGTGGCCTTGGGAATAGAATCAGGGTAATGAATTAAAGAACTTCTCTCAGAGCAGCTGGGCCAAGAAATTCCCTATCTACAAATTTTATTCCATAGATACATTCAGCTGTGTTCATACAAGGGTATTCCCTGCAGTGTATTTATCAGGACAAAAGACTGGGAACAACCCAAATGTTCATTAGTAGAAGACTGGTTAAATAAATCATAGCGCATGCATAGAATGAAACATGAGGCAGTCAACAAATAAAAATGCTCATCTCTCCATGGCTGACTGTAACGGTCCCCAGGATAGATTGCCGAGTAAAAGAAGCCAAGTGGAGAATAGTGCATACAGCTTGGTACCACTTGTGTAAAAGGGAGGCATGTTGATATATGGGTAGAACATCTCTAACGCTGTTAATACTGGTTACCTTTGTTTACAGGCCAGAAATTATATGCTTAATTTTTGCCATGTATCTCTTTATACTGCTGGGACTTTTTTTTTACCATGTGCATGTGTTATCTAGGCAAATATGTGATCTTTTTAAAGGAAAAGAAAGGTGTAGAAGGGAAATGATAAAATCTAGAAAATAGAAAATAAAGTAAGATGGAAGAGATAACAAAAAAATCAGAAGTCCTATTAAATAGAGCTGAGTTCTTTTCTGCCTTGAAGAGAGAGAAGTTCTGATTCAGTTTTAGAAAACAAATCTAGCCTAGCCTTTTACAAGATACACACCTAAAACAGAATGACCACAGAAAAGTGACATAACCACATGGAATACTATGTCAGACAAATCCTAGTTGCCCATAAAAGTATGTGTGGCAGTTACAATCCTCTATAAAATACAATACAAAGCAACAGCATTGAATAGGAAAGGGAGATAGTTATGTTGATAAAAGTGCAATCCAAGAACAGATTGTCACAAATCTTTATACATTTATATAATGCCTCAAAACACAAAGCAAAGACTGTTTACTTTCAAGGATTATTGTTAAGTGTATAATCAAAATAGATATTTTAACATGCCTTTCAGAAATAATGAATAAATAAATATATAGAGTATTTGAATAAAAAATTAGTAAGTGTAACCTATCTATATATGTTGAACTCTGTATCCAGTAGATAAAGAATACAGTTTTTTAAAACAAGACAGCATGTTTACAAAATGTTACAAATAGATACACATAAATACACATACACCCTAATATTTAAAACAATTTTAAGCGAAAATAAGTTCCATACACTTAAAAAAATGAATGAAAATGACATAATGCCTATAAAAACATCTGTGATACATAATTTTAAATGGATTTATTAGAAAACAAGAAGGAATCAAAATTGACCAAGAAGTAAGCTTAAAATTCTAGAAAAAGAAGGGCTGAGGAAGCAACAAGAGAAGAAATGAATGGATAACGATAAAAGCAAAAAATAATAACTTCCAGTTTAAGTAATAATAGTTATCAATAAAATGAAAATCTGATTCTTTGAAATGACCATGCTTTTGATCAAGTGAAAAATAGAAAAGAATGAAAAATTTGCCATATAATTCTAGATTTAAAGGAGATTTTTATAATAATTCTGTGTACAACTGTATGCCAATAAATTTGAAAATCTAGATGAAATGTTTGATTGCATAGGAAAATACATGAGTTTAATACAGAAAATTTAAATTGATCAATAACTGTTGAAAAATTTAAGATGATCAGTGATCTTCCCCTAAAAATGCTTCCGTGTAAGTTAGTTTATAAATGTCCTACCAAATCTGCCAGAAGCAGAATTCCTTTGCTAATGTAAACTGTTCTGGCATAAGTAAATTAAAAAGGCTTCCCAACTCATATTGAGAAGTTAGTGCAACTCTAATACCGAATCCAGGCAAGGTTGGTGACATGTTCCAACCTCACTTACAAACATATTTGGAAAGATGCTAGATAAAACATTAGTAAATAAAATTCAGTGCTGCTCAAGAATAATGTACCAAAACCAAGGAATTTTATATCAACCTATCATTGTTTTATTTTTTTTGCTATTTTTGATTCACATCCCCACCAAGAATATTTAAGAATACCTGATTTTCTGCATCTCTGCCAACACTGAGTGGTAAGAGACGATGACTCTAGTTTTCTTGTTTGACTTTTTTTTCCTGAAGCAGACATCTACACTGTGTGATTAGTATTTTTTTTAATGTTAATTTCAAATAAAGTTTTGAAGTAGTGATGATGCCATGATACCACAGATCAGCTCAAGGCAAGATGATGGAATAAACTTCATATCTGGATCCTCCAGCCTCCCTGCTGCTGATTCCTGTCCCTCCTGGGGTCTTTGAGTTCTTCAGCCCAAATACACAGGAGAGGGGCAGGGACCGGCAGGCAACCACCCCCTACACATGGGTTTTCCCGAAAAACTGTGAAGCCCTGGAGTAAAATTCATTTCAGGTTTCTTGACAAACAGCGCCTGTATCTATGTCTCTACCACCCCCACCCCAAAATCCTTTGGAAACCCTCCACTATATGGCTTCCTTTCCCCTCCCCAAATCTGTTCCTAGGAAAGCCTGATTCTCTTACATTTCAGGGTAAATTAAATGTATCTATTTGCTGCCTTGGAAGAATTTGCATCTGAAATGTGATCACTAACTAGGCAGTGAAATGTAGGCATGTGCGAAACAAGTAGGTCAGACGTTTAAGGAATTCGGTTGGACCTCTAATTCTAAAACAATGAGCCTCGCTGTTACCCAGGTTCTCCTCAGCTCTCTACCAGCTAAGTACCCAATGTACACGTCTAACACATCTAATGCAGCATGATGTGTGTTTTGGACCACAGCCATCTCTGGCTTAGAGGTAGCCAAAATGCCACTTCTGCCCCCTGGGTTCTTAATCCAGTGGACCTCAGATTTTCTTCCCAGTTCAGGCACCACTTTCTGAGCTCAGAGCAAAGAAAAGCGGCTTCTCCTGTCCCAGGTGGATTCTGTGGGGACTTTAATAGCCATTTGGGAGAATGTCCCAATGGCACTTTGGCCAAACCGACGGTTGTACAAAAGCAGATTTCAGTGCAAATCTAATGGAGCTGGGCCACACCTCTGCATGATGGTCCTTAGCAGAGATCTCAGCTATGGCCCATGAGCCAAACACAGCACATAGATGGATTTTGTTCTGCTCCCTATATTTTTTACACTTTTGAGCAAACACCTATGAAGGCATTTTCAGTTTGCAATTGCCGCCTTACACACATCCCATGCTCTGACCTCAGGACATAAACATATACAAAGGAATTAGGCAGTTCACAGGCCAGGTACTTGTGCGACCTTCTTCCTTCCCCTCACTTCTTCCTGTGGTTAAGGCACAAGACAAAAGGGGACAGCTATTGAGTTCTCATCACAACTGTCTTTCTCTTTTGGGGCCTTAACTAAATTACTTTATCTCTGGGTAGTGGACTAGAAGATTTCTAAGGCAGCTGATAGTTCAACAGTCTATGATTCTATGAGTCTATGTGTCTATTCTCTTCCCCCCTAGTGGCAAAACCTCAGAATTTTATATTAGCAAATTCTGTAAAGTTTACTTTCTGTGTAGTTGGAAATAGGCAACTGCTCTTACTTCCCCATTTTACAGATAGAGAAATTTGAAGCCTAGAAGAGTTTAGTATAATAGTAATTTGATATAGATATTCAAATAACCTTTTGGCTTCTTTAAGAAGCTTCCTTTTGACTTGGAAAAAAATCTTCATTATTGTGAAACATTATTTTGGGATTTTGTATTAATCCAACATGTATTAATGCTTCAATACTGTCTCTTTACTTTCCTCCCCATTATTTGTCCCCAGAGAGTACTTGTCTCCCCTGCATTACCAAAAAAGGGCATTATTGTATTGTGTGCTTTCCCCTTTTTATAACCCAGACATACAGCTAAGTTATTCTCAAGAGGGTTCAAGGTTATTGAAAGGACTGAAGAATCCAGAGGCTTCAAAATGTTGAAACCCTCGAGTAACTGTTTCTGAGGAGTAAATGCAGTGGTAACTATACTGCACATGTGCATATACACACACATACACACACAGTAGGACCATTTACCAAAAAGCATACTAAGCAGCTGTTCTTAAAAACATAATTTCTCAACTCATAACTTATATTATGGCTTATGCATTTTTGTAAATCTGGCAAGTTTTCATGTTAAAACTGAAGTGACAGGACATTTTCCTTGGTCTCTGGTTTCTCCTTATTTAACCATAATCAGTGCAGTTATCTAAGGTGGTTTCTGTTAGGCTATTGAGGTATTGCCCACTTAATGAATTGCAGAGCTCTCTAACTGAATTCTTGCTGTGTATGCCTTCTTGTGATTAAGAATCTACCTTATGGATACTAAGATAGCCTGTGGTCAGATATATGGTGTCATTAATCTAATTTCTCTTGGAGGAAAAAGTGCATTGCTAATAGCTATATTGTCTCCCATTGCAGATTACGGTATTTCGGATGGGATCAGAAGGACACCAGGACATTGATTTAGCTATCCTGACAGCTTTGCTCAAAGGTAAGACAGTGTCCATGTCCAGAGAGTGCAAAAATAACTTAAATGCATTAAAATCACAATTCTTTGTCTCCTAATAGTGGATAAATCCTAAATGATAGAATTATTGATAATATAAGACCTCCTGTAAGACACTGCTGCTGCTATTAAATTCTCCTGTAATAGGGCTTTTGGGGTGACTCAATTTCATAAAGTTTAACTATGCTACAACTTAGTCATGTCCATTGGATCATAAAAATATAGAAAATAAAAGGCTAATGTAATATGTAAGACACTGTTACTGAGGTTATTTAATAAAAGATTACCCTGTCTACTCTCAAAAACAATTTAATATGACATAGATAATAGTTGGTAGATAGGTATCATAATACATGGAAAATGGAAAATCGAAACCACTGAGAGGAAGGGAGAAAAACCAAAATGTTAGCCTACTACACTCATTATACTTGTGCATTAAATATAACTCTAAGTTTCCCTGAAGTTGAGGCAGAAATAGAAATGCCCTGGGTTGTACGGTTTTCTGTTGTAAGGTGTTTGTCCTGTTCTCTAGTCTCAATATTATAAAATGATCTCACTGCATGTCCTCATCCTTGGAACCATATCCAAGGGAAGAACAGTTCCTCTTCAGGTCAAATCCCACCCTAAATGTCCCTTGATAAGTTTGTTACATTTGACTAATAATGTTCAGTATTAATATAAACAAAAGGATGTTGTCTCTGTTCAGCACTGAAATGAGAATTGGAACTAAGGTGAAACAAAATCTCAAACTTGCTGCATGTGGTTCTGGGGCAGAGATGTCTCACCCTGCTCCCTGAGCCCCACAGTAGGCCTGCTGCAGCATTTATCACATGATGGCCCATTGCCTGTTTGTAAATGTCCTGAGATCATATGTTCTGAGTGCAGAGAATGTGTCTTGCCAGTACTGCTTTCTCAGCACTTCACACAATCCCTGACACCTGGTAGCATTCAATCAATCTTTGTGAATAAACAAGGAAATGAATGGATTTCTCCATGATTCATTGATAAATTCAGTGTTCTAGATTCAAACTCGGACTAGCAACCATTGTATTCTAATTTCCAGTCTACCTACCCTTCTTCTACTACTAACAGTTTATTGAGTAGTATCCACCATGCAGCGGCTACTAAGCTAAGTGCTAAGTTTTTCACAGATACTGGGAATGTTGATTACTGCAACAGCTATGTCATGTAGGAGCTATTTTTAATCCCCATTTTACAGCAGGGGTAAATGGAGCAGTAAGAAATTGAGTTACTTCCTCAAAGTTACCATGCTAATTAATAAGCCTAGACTTAGATTCAGACATGTCTAACTCTTTACTATACCACGTGTGAACCCGTTGACGCTAGAAGCTATTGATCCTCCATCCACTTCCCCCGTGCATATATGCACATTCATTCAAGATCCTATCACATTTCAGGAAATTCACAGTCCTCTGAAGCATATTGTGTGTCCCAGGTTGAGAACCTCTGCTTTAAAGCATTTCATCCCCCAAAATACATAAATGCAGAAGAATTAAGGGACCATACATGGGCTAAACCACAAAGCATACTCCAAAACCCATTCTCCATTTTTCAGAAACAAAATTATAAGTTTGAGGCAAGTAACTCTATATTTGCTATACCTACATAAAAATAAGAAAAAGTAATAAAACTGGTAACTAACACTTACTGAGGTCTTGCCAAACACCATGTTATGTATAAATCCGTTTGCTCTATGTGTAAATCCATTTACTCTTTATAACTGTATAAAGTTATAATAAACTGGTCAGTTATAACTTTATAACTGACCAGTTCATTACAAGACCCATTTTATAGGTAAGGAAATCGAGGCACTGGGCAATTAAGTAACATGCCCAAGATTAGCTGGCCAGTAAGGAGTATAGACAGCTGACCCCATGGCCCCCACTTACACACGCCACCACAGCACCCATATCCCATTATAAAAAGAAGTGGAATACCACATTTGTCACCTTGAACCAAAACTCATAGCAGATGAACAAGTGACCCAATTATTCGTTAAGAGATATTAGTCTTATAGTATCTTCTATTGAAAATATTTTCTTCTTTCACCAATTTGTGAAACTTATATTGCACTTCACCTTCAGATCAGTCTTAGAATGTATTTGTTGTAATATAGAATAGTTATGGGCAGACTGTTTTGTGTATGATGGACCATATGAAATACATTTTATATCATAACCAAGTAGTTATACATATGCATTTAGAAAACTGAAATTAAAGTACATGAAATAATATTTACATTGGCCATATGCAATAAAATTGGATATTTTCAATTCTAATCTACTCTGTTCTCTTTAAAACTGATTATATACCACTAAATTGATTTCATGACCCACTAATGGGCCATAACCTGCAGCTTAAAAAACACTGCCATAGAATATTAAGGAAATTATGACTGCTCTAAGAAATTAACATTTCTAATCACAATAATGAACATTATTTATGCAGCAGTTGATGCTAATGGGAATTTATGCCATTAAAAGATTATGGTGTGTCAACTCTATTTTGCAAGGGCTTCTAAATGCTCTCAGATTTTGACCCAGTTGATTTGTGAAGGATATCAAGCATTGCTTTTCCTGACTTCCTTGGAGGCCAAAAGCATAGTTACATCAGTTTCAAATTCATTAGTTTGTTAAATTATTCTTCCTATGTATTTTTAAAATTATGCCTGGGCATGTAACATGGTTTAACACTTAATTTTTACAATTATACTTTGTTTTCAAGTATTTAACACATGAGGAATCTTCATACAGCCCAGTTTTTATTCTTTCCATCATCTGAGAAAACCAGAAGTTAGATAGGAGGAGGAGGAGAGGGGCATTAAATGAAGCACTAGTCCTAGTCCGTAAGTCCAGAGCCCAGACAGAAATGAGAAGGACAGATGGAAACGAGGTGTCTATGAGGAAGATAAACCTTTGCTGCCCCTTGTTTCTGATCCCATGGGGTTTGATTTTCTTCAGGATCTCTATATATCAAAGGATACTGTCTGTATGACATAGCCTTACCGAGAATCTGTCCAGAAATGAAAAGAGAAAGGGGACAAAAAGAACACTGTTGCAGAGACCTGAGAGGCCCATAGTTTCTTCAAATGCTGGCCTGGGGTAGCTTTTGAGAATAAGTGATGCCACATTTGTCTTTCACATTAAGGTAACCGCTCTCCAAGTGTAGTGGTCTGAGCCTAGAGACAGTTACACCCTACACCCTTCTTTTTCCAATCGTTCCCCACCCCCACCACACTTATCCAGGGGAACCCAAGGAAATGGCATGGAGGAGTTACCAGAGAAAATATAGGACGTTACATGTTCAGATAAACAAACAAATATTGCATGGGACATACTAATACTAAAAAAAAAAAAAATTTCATTGTTTATCTGAAATTCAACCCTAAGTGGGAGTCCTGTGTTTTTACTTGCTAAATCAGGCTACCCTACTCAGAGGAGGTGTGATGCCATTAATAGTTCCAGAATGCAGAGACCTTGAGAGGTTCTGTGGAAAAGTTACTCAAGAATCTAGAGAGATCACCCAGCCCCTCTGTCTGCCTCCATTTGTCAGCCAAGCCCTGCCTACATCGTAGTGATGTCAAGGTTCTTGTTTGCAAAGTCGAAGAATGAATTGAGCAAACACTCAAGGTAGGAGAGCCAGGGAGAGACTTTTATTTAGAGATACAGTGAGAGGACAGAGCTAGTGACTCATGCCAGGAGGGACAAGAGAGCCCAGAGTGGTGCATTGTCTTGGGGATTTATAGGTGGTTGAGAGACGAAGGGCTAGGGATGCACACCTGCTAGATGGTCCCAAAATGTTTATTTTTGAAGAGATACTAAGTTTCTTATCAGTGGGTTATTCTTCAAAGTTGGCTTAACACAAGAAATTTACTGCTTTGATTCTTTTCCAGGATATCAGCTTCTGTCTGGAAGCATATTAATCAAGACTGTCTGCCTTGCCTCTAATGTGGGTTGAGCCACTGTCCCTTTGATTAAAATGCAATCTTAGCTTTAAGATACAATTCTTCCTGAATAAGCTGAGCCTTTGAGCAGGTGCTAAAGTAAATCTTACAATGGTATGTTCTAATTGATACAGTAAAAATGTAGGCTATGCTGAGATACTTTTCTTTATCTGGGGAGTATTCAAACTTATAGGTCAAGTTGCTCTTGGCTTTTTAGTTTTAACTAATCTCACTGAAGAATGCTTATATTTCTAGTTTGATATTTTTACTTTAGAGAATTAACTTGACTTTGGCTTTGCTTAATTATTTAACATGGAGTTTTGGTAGGGGTCATTTTCCGGAGGCCCTCACCCTACTCTGGCTAAGCCCATGCATGGTCCCTGTCTCAGTAGCAACCAGAAAAGACTTCCCTGGACTCCAAACTTGCCTTAATGAACTAACTACCCAGTGCTTACCAACCTGTTCTCTCAGCCGCCTTACCCTAGACGCATCTGCCATGCAGCAGCATAAACTTGCTCCAAGCTCTAGGAAGCCAGAAAACATGAGCTCATACCAGAAGTGATTAAAAGGGGTCCCTTGACCCTTTCTGTGGATAAAATCACTCCCAATTTTTTTCATCTTTTTTCATATACCTTGGAAGCTGATACATTATGGGAGTGTATACTTTTCATTCATGTATATGCACTAAAGTGTAATACATGACGATACCTGTCCTCCATAAATGAAAAATTCTTTTTCTTCGAGTTTAATCTTCATTGGTAAAGAAGTGCATCCATGGCATGGGGAATGAGTAACCTTTATTCCTTACTTTTTTTTCTGGAAAGCATTTTAAAAGAGAATGCAAAACAATAGGTTCCTCTTCAAAATGGTCAAGGTCATCAAAAACAAGGGCAGTCTGAAAAACTGTCACAGCAAAGAGGTGCCTAATGAGACATGACAATTAAATGTAATGTGGTTGCCTGAATGGGGTCCTCAAAGAGGGAAACAGGAAGAGCATTAGGTTAAAAATCAAGAAAATGTG